AGCACGTTTGGTGGCCCCATGCCAATTCGTGCTCCAGTCGAATGCTATAGTTGCTGCTGTAGCAACACAGATCACCCAAGTCGCTAATTGAACTAGTGGGTAGAGCGTTCATATGGCAGAGCACTTTTCAAGCGCTGTTTAACAACCAGCGCATCCTTTGTCATAAAAGCACCACACTTTCGATTCCTTAGCGGCTTCCTGCTTAGTGAATTTCCCGATGCGCTCTCTCATTATCGTAATCACTTCCTTTAAGGACATGCCAATTGGCTCCAAAAAGCCCGATCTCAACCTCCGTGGCATTCCAGAGAAAAAAGCGGGATAACAATTAAGATGCGCAACAATAGACACAGAGCACCAGAAGTTCGCGGAACAGGTAAAGTATCCTCTGCGGTGTGCGAATTTTACAATTCAGCAGCGAAAGCACTGGTTTGGAGCAGAACGTTATGCTTTATAGAAAGGTCTAATCTCATTAAGAGTGAGAACATTCTCATGATCAGAAGCTTTTCAGTAAACTATAGCCATTCTCTGGCCATATTCGCCAAAAATGAAATCGTCAAAGAAATTTGTCAGGGATATTCAGCTCTTCTCACCAACTGTTCCTTCTTGTACGGGTGGATGTCTCTCCTCTTCCGTATCATCATCGCTCAGCGATTCACAGGTGATTCCGTTCCCTGCGTAGCCTGCTCGGCAAACGCATTCAGACTGAAAAATTTTTGACATATCTTTTTTATTATTTTTACTTCCTTTTCAATCACCATAGAATTTTGAGAAAATTGGTTGCTATGAACCAGAAAAATTTGAAAGAATGAAGCTCAACAAAATGAACCACTAAGGAACTCGGCTGAATCGAAGATCTCATTCCGTTCGTTTTTTTTTTGATATTGTGAGAAATAAATAATATAAAGAATAAAGGATAAAGCATTTGCCGTTGATCAATCCCTTTTTGGGATGCGGCACGCATTCTATTAGGTACCGGATATCTTAGTGTCGCTTTTCTGAGTTCAGGAAGTTTTGGGGCCGATTACTATGGAAAATCAATATCTCAGAAAGTCCTTTTTGCTCATTAATACTGCGAAATATGTTGCTTATTGTTTTCTATTGTTGGTTCACAATTTAACTTTCCCCCAATTTTTATACTTTTTTTTGAAAATTCCTGGGTCCAGTGTGCAAATTCGCATGTGTGTACCAAATGCTTCAAAATTCTTGCTGAGAGCTACAACTCCGCCCACCAAACCAACATTGCATTTGTTGGAGGGAATACTACCATTTAAAATGCTCATCGGTTTTTCACAGTTTTCTCAAAAGACAGTAAAGTCTTTGAAGGGATGCCCGCAATCGTCGTCAAAAAGGTGGCCCTAGTTAAATCAGTCGAGACGGGCTGCTGCACAGCAGTCTTGTGCTGAAATGTGGAACCTCTGATCGATGGTGCACAGACGCTCTAACGAAGTTGATTGACCAAGAAATTCTAATAAATGTGCTCATCTGCTACTCACGTGTGCTCAAAAAGGGTGCGTTTTTGACCCTATGTGGCAAAAAGACTTCCGGAAAAATTGTCCAAATGAGCCCCTTAAAGACCTTAAATGAGCCTTTAACTTTTCCACCATACAGTGCAGACCCTACTCTAACTTAACTGTATACTTATTTTGTCCAGGCCTAACTTTTTAGCAAGTGAGAGGGATGATTTGTCAGATGATGTCAAATTCGACCTACCTCTCTTTTTCGACTCAAAAAATTCCTAACTTTAATCGTACGAGGTTTTCCACCATAACTTCGTATAGCATACATTATACGAAGTTATAATATGGTGGCTCGAAACTCGTTGGTTGAAAAAACGACATAAGAGAATCACGGCTACCTAGTCTTCAATTTGTACTTTCGTCGTGCGTTTGGAATGCGATGTGGCCCATAATATAAGACTGCGGGCGGCAAACCGATGTAACAAGTCAGTCGGGTTTATCTCCCAAATTATAGTCTTTACATTCTTCCTAGTTACCATTAACTGACGAGCGAGAGTGCTTGGTTGGCCCGGGCGACTCACGACCCAGGACTGAATAGCTGGATCGCTCCGCGTGGTAAGCGGCCTATTTTGACTATATATTCCGCCCACAATAAATAACAATAAATAACATGGAAAGAAAAATGATAATACGACAACGAAAAGGAGGGAAGAAAAGGGATGAATATAAAAGGAAAGTAACAAACCCCTCCACTGGGTGACGGCATACAGTCGGCATTTGTGTCGCATATGTGGTGACCGCATGGGCGCCTCGCTCCTTCATACGTGCCCACATCTGGGCGCTCTTGTCGACGTTCGTCTTCTCGACGAGGTCCCTCTTCTCTACGGGGCTCCTCTCGACGTTCTTCTTCTCGACGAGTTCTCGACGCGGCTCTTCACGACGATGCTCTGAATTTCATGGCCTTCTTTTTAGAGAAATTCAGATCTTCCCTTTCTGATTAGACCGATGCATTATGATGTTTAGCGAGAAATTCCAAAGTGGAAGCTCTCAAATCCGAATCGAATTAAAAAATATTGGAAATAAATAGCTCCCGTTCTCTGTATGTAGCTATCCTCTCAGGACGTGTATTTATTGAAAGCAGGTTTTTCAGTGATAAATAAAATTCTAAACTCTCACTGGAATGCCCCGCGGAATTTGAAGGTAAGCGCGCCAGTTCCTACTCGTATGTGAGAATTTCTTTACAATTCTTCCCCTTTCCGATGAAACTGCACCTTATCTTCAGCAAAAGTTCGGAATTGGCCGAAGTTCAGTCCTACCAAGCTAGCACAAAAATCGTCAGTGAGATTCAGGCCTCAGAAGCAAAGCTCGGTTAGTAAGCAGCTTGAAATTGTGGATTTTCGAGAAGACGCCATCTACTATCAATCAGGAGAGAAATTCGCCGACCACGTTGCCTTCATTAGCAAGAACCTGTATGCTTGAGTTCGTCGCATTGCTGTTTTCTGGGTTCCCACTCAACGAACAGTTCTACCTACATCCCATGCTCAAGCTGATGAGGCACTGGAGATAGCTATGGGTCAACGCCAGAATGTCAAGCATCAAAAACAGACATATGGGAAGTTTGACGCGGTAAGAAGTCGTAGCACAAGCTCGGGATTGCAGATGAGCTCCGTCAAGAGCTCACAAAAACGCTCAAATGCCCAGAAGCTCACCTTGTGGCGGTCCACAGTGATCCACTCCGTCGCCAGTGTACCATCCACGGCAACGACACTGTCCGTATGGCGAGCCATCAGCGAACACGCACTCTCCCCATTGGTGGCATTGGTGATGGTTCGTGCACACTCCCTGAAAGATGAAGTTTCCATGGGTACTTCTGAAGTTATATTTGCAACGCATGTAAGAGTGAGTATTCTACGGAAGGTAGCAGCCGCCGCCAGGCGTGGCTAATTCAGGGTTTTCATGTCTGTAGCTAGGAAGAATGGAAAAAGCTCGTGGACTAGAAAAGAATATTCCATTGAGAAAAGGAAAAATAACACTCTCTCTGGACAGCTACAAAA